TCTCCCATTTTGGGGAGACCAGGGGTGAGATGGGGACCAGGAACAGTCTGGCTGTGCAATGCTGTCAACCCACACTCTTACATCTCTGCACTTGTCTGGAGCAGAGATTTCCTGAGGGGCACACAATCCCCTCCAGGATTGTGTTCCCTGCACTGGAAGTCAGTGAGTGGCATGGTCTCCCACTATGGCCTGAAGCTGTTTTGGGGGAATTTCAGACCAAAAGGAGCAGCCTTGCTTATCAGCCTCCCCTATGGCCTTGCTTATTGGAATCGACCTGCAGGGAGCTGAGCTCTAACCACAGTAACTCCACAGCCCCTGGATCTGGGCTGAGACCTCCAAACCTAATAATTCTGTTCACTTTTGTTCTCTGAGCAAACCTCTCCTTCTGATGCCAGAGCAGAGGGTTTGCGAGGCCTGATAGTCGGCCTCAACCCACCCTGTCCACTTACCAGCTTCTTGACTCTGCTACAGGAAAGAATTCAAAAGCAGAGTCACAGAAGAAGATGAAAACAGGTTTAATGTAGCAGATAAGGAATACAGACTTCACAGAGAAAGTACAGCCTAGCTCTAGAGATTGAGCAGGACCCACACCAAGTTTAGTATAAAAGTAAGAAATGCACACTTAAACTTTAGTGCAGGCTGGCTCAAGAGAGTGAGCAGCCACCTGCTAAAAGTAAGCTAAATACAAAAGTAAAGCATACACACCTCCACCAGCAAAGTGCCGGTTGGTCCCAGGAAAGGGAGCAACAACCTGCTGAAAGTAAGTTTGATACAACAAGAAAGAAATACACACTCCACAGGCAGAGTGTGAACTGGCTCTATGAGACTGAGAGACAACCCCGCCTTCTGTTGGGATTTAGCTTTTATAGTTTTGCTGTCTATTACATATTCATACTATCTAATGAATATTCAGTTAAGGGTGTGGTTCCCCATTATGTAATATAGTATTGCACACGCTCATTTGGTCTCTTTTTGGAGCACATTCATTGGTCAAATTCTATCACTTGCATAAAACACATTCAAGAACATTTTGTGCTGATTAGCACCCCTAGTGGGAGGTCATTCAAAGGAAAAACTCCCTTCCACTAAGCATGCTCGGTCACTGGGGTCATATAAATTCTTTTTACTGAGCATGCTACTGTATTTGCATAAGTCTGTCCCTGCAGTCTCAATCTCCCCATGTTGGTGCTGAAAATAGGTCCAACAAGCAACAGTAACTCTGCTCT